GGAGTGCTCTGCATCCCTCTCCAGCCTACAGGCTGCTGGATTCAGTGCTAAGGAGTTCCTGAGGGGGATGTGCTTCCAGTCCTCCTCTGGAGAAGGACAGGTTGCCATGACAAAGGCCTTTGAGACAAAGAGGTGTGGGATGGAAAAATAGTATGTGGGAAACCTAGAGGGAAAAATACAGACCTCAATTCAGCATTTGCCATCATTTTCCAACATAAAATCACAAGATTGGGGACTTTGGTTCATGATAAACAGTAAAGGGCTACAACTACATTGAAACCAGGAGAAGCTGGATGAAGTGGGGAAGCAAATATAAACATTCAGCATACAAAGAGCTCAAGATATGCTGATCCTGATGAAGAAAACTTCCCCACAGCAAGGTGTCCTAACATCACTCCAAACAACCTTTATTATCAAGTGCTGTCGAAGCAGAATCACTGCAAGCAAAGGCACCTTTCCCTTAGGCCTTTACGGGTCCTTCCCAATGGCCCTAAGAAAGCTTTAATCACCTGAGCCACCTGCCACCATTTTATAGATTGCACAGGCCTCGCTGCAGCAAAAGCAAGCTTGCAAATGCCTTTTCAAAAGCATACTTTATGTTTCTAAAGTTTCTCTATCCCAGAAGGTCTCAACAAGGTCTAAACAATTCTAGAGAAGGGAGCAAACAAAAATAAAAAGAACAAGAATGAGAGGGGAGAGGCAGACCCAAGCAAAGCACCAAGTGGTAATCTTAACCCTGTTGTTTCTTCTAGATTTAAAAAACATGGAGCTCTACAATTACCAAGCTATCGAAAGCTGGGAAATCTCACTGCCCTGAAAGGCACAGTGAAAGACAGCTTCATTTTCCTGAACTGAATTTTTAACATGTTGTGCATAGCAGCCAGTCATCTCCCTCTCTCCCATTTGTTGTAGGGGATCCATTTCAAAACATTTCCTAGCTTCGAATCATGCCTGTCATTACAATCCCAGAGCACCCAGGCTGCACATACACTATCCCTTAAAAGCAGTGACTTTGTTGGAAAGACATCAGCTGTATATAATGGGAATGGCTATTGCCTTCCTCCTCCCTAAACCCTACGGACATATCCCCTTATCCCCCCTTCCCTCTGCAGCATCTGAGCCTTGGCACAGCGTCAGCTGGCAGTGCCGCTTCAGACACAGCTCCCCTGTGTCCCCTCTGCTCTCAGCACTATGGATCCAGAATGGATGCTGTACTTGTGTGACCCAACTCTGAATCCTCCTGTGTTCACTCTTCCCATTTTCCCCAGAGAGTAAGTTTCTCTCCAGTGCCTCCAGCTTTCTTCTCCAGCTTCCCCCTCCCTGCCAGCCCTGCCCCCTCTGCTGTCCTGCCCACCTCATACCTGTTGGCAAGACTTGCAATGCCACCACTGCCGCTGTGTTTCCTTGCCCGGCTCAGCCTCCGCGTGGGCTTTGGATCTTGTAGTCCAGGGCTTGGAACTGAGGGGAAGGTCGAGGCATAGCCATGTTCACACTCTGCAAGAGAAT